GCTTCCTCTACCTGACCCTGTCAGCCATGCCCCTGGGAGGAATTGGTGAGGTCCTGCCCTCCTCCACAATCCAACCACAACCTCAGGAATTCCTTTCACTTGCTTTACCTGGATCTCATGGCCTCAGTCTCCCTATCTGTAAAATGGTTCTTAGCTTTGCCTGCCTCTCTCTGGGTTTCCTGCAAGCCTTGGGCTTCTAGCCCCGGAAAGTGGCTGCTATTGGGATTGGTGCACACGGGTGAACAGGGCGCTGTCCTCACAATCTCACTCTGTGCTGTGCAGGTAACAGCGGGATGGGCCGGTACCATGGCAAATTCTCCGACACCTTCTCCCACCATGGTGCCTGCCTGCTGCACGGCCCAGGGATGGAGAGGCTTAATGACCTCCGCTACCCGCCCTGTAGTCCCTGGAGCCAGCAACTGACAAGCTGGACTATAGGTTCCCAGAGCAGCACCCTTCTTGTAAATGCCACCGACTCCAGCAGGTCCCCAAGCCCTCCTTCTGTGGCTCAGTCCCTGAACTACCCTGAGCTGCCAGCTGCTCCCAGGTCTCTCCAGTTCCCAAAAGGCAGGTGTCCCACCCAACATGTTGAACACCTCACTTCTGGAGCTTTTCTAGACAGATCTCCAGCCGGGGAAGGACATCTAGGTGGCTGGTCCAGTCTTTCTTCATACCAGAGTCCCCTTGGCAGCCTCCTGACTGACCCTAGAAGCCCCCTCCTCAAGGCTGGCAGGACCCATGACTGAGGACTTTCTTTGTTAAATCTGGGTGTGGTAGCACATGCCTTTAACCCCAGCACTCAGGAGGCAGAGACAGACAAATCTCTGTGTGTTCAAGACCACCTTGGTCTACATAGCAAGCTCCAGGCCAGCCAGGGCTACATAGTGAAACCCTGTCTCAGCCCTCTCCCCCTGTCCTCCCTCCTCCCCCAAAAGACAGAGCAGCAGCTCACAGCTCCATCTACACCTGGAGGGTGGGTCTGTCCAACTGGGAGTGATGTAATCTTGGACCCAGATTGGATTAACTGGTGGACTCTGCCTGTGGTGTGCTACATTAGTTACTTAAACCATCCGTGTTCAAATGGCCTGACAGAGAACTTCAAGATTTCCTTTCAGATCTCGGTTTCAGGGGTTCAGTCCACCATAGCACAGCAAGTCATGACAGAACAGCTGAGTTCATAGCACGGAGGACCAGGAAACAGTGCAATAGTTAAGTTGCAGGTCACCAAAAACTTTCTGATGCTACATGTGGAATCAATAGGAAGGAAAGCATGGTTGATTAGTCATGTCTGCTCTGGGCCCAGGGAGGAGTGTATGCATGTTTTGGCCACAAGAGAGCTAGAATACAAAACGTGAGACTTCACCTGAGACATGAAACTGAGGGCCGGAGCCAAGATAAGGTTAGGCTGAGTTCACAGGGGAGAGCAGGGACAGAGCTGAGGGACTGTGGACTTTACTGAGAAATAAGGGGCTGGGTAGACAGCACGCCTGGTCCCCGGACCGGCCTCTTGCTCTTCCCCAGTCTCCGCCCTTGGATCCACCTTCAGTTTCCGGCCTTGGTTCAATGGACTCCTCATCCTTAGAGTCATGGGAAATCCAGGCTTGTGGCCAAGTCTGAGAAAATTAAAACAAATACGGTCTTCCGGTTCCCTTGGGAATTGTGGGTAACGAGTTTTCCAAAAGGGCCCATAGGGGACAGAGCAGAGGCACAAAACAGGGACTCACCGATGGATGAAAGAGAGAGCAAACAAGGGAGAGGAGGCGTGGATGGGTGCACGGATGATGGCTGGATGGTGAGGTGAGTGGATGGAGAGATGAAGAGACTGGATGGTAGGTCACAGGTGAGTGGGCAGGTGAGTGGCAGCGAGCAGATTTGGGACCTCGTCTCAGGATTCTAGTGGAGTCTGGGGTCAAATCAAGCCATGGATGCTGGCTCCAGCCTGGTCATCACTCATGTCATCATTCATGGTCCAGAGTGGACAATAAGAAAATTGACAGTACAGGTTAATCCTCCCACTCCCCACCTCAGGACACCAGGCCAGCAGGGTACCCTGGACTGGAGGATGGAGAGACAAGCCACGGTGAAGGTAGTGGAGAGACAGAGAGCGCAGGGGGCCCTGGCCCTCGTGTGTAAACAAGCTGGGATGCCAGGTCTGGCTAGGAAAGGCACAGGGAGGGACATCTGTGTGGTGACCGGGGAAGCAGGCTTCCCATCATTGTACCTGCCCTGGAGCTGATGCAATCTCGAGGAGGAGGGAGGCACCTAGGAGCAGAGAACCCCTGTCTGCCCAGACACTCGCCTGACACCCAGCAGGAGACAGAGGGCAGAGCTGTTTCCGTGGTCCTCCACTGTGGATCTCGGAGGGTTTTTAATTCCCTCTTCCCCAGAGCCCTCACTGAAGTCCGGCCTTCCACATCCAGCCAAGAGACTGTTCCTTAGAGATCAGATTGAGGAAGGCAGAAATTAAGTCTGGCTGGATGCTGTGGCCCCAGGATCTAGCCAGAGCAGAACCCTCCTGATGTCTGCAATGCCTATAATAAATTAATGAAGCAGGCTGGGGAAGGTCAAGAGACAAGGAGAGAAGACACCTCTCAGTTGCCTCCTCCCTCCCCCTTCCTCAATCAGCCATGCACCCTCTGAGTGTCCCCACCTGAGCATCCTCAAGACCAGGCCCCGGCCCTGAGAACGAGTAGTAGTCAGGTATGGGAGGCCTGGCCACAAGGCTCCTGGCCAGTCCAAACCTGGTCACCCTTCCAGGTCTTCGAGAACTGATCCATCGGACCTTTCACCCCTGCTGGACCCTCTCCTTTTGGCTGTGATGCCGGCTACACTACCCCACAGAGACCTTCCTGATGTTCCCAGACCCTTGTACCAATCATCAGCCCAGTCTGCCCACTTCCCTCAAAACTCATGTGAAGGTCGTGTGTTTTCTGGCCTGGCTACAGTCTCACTGGTCCTGTCCTGGCTCATTCCCCAGGGCTGGCTTTCACACGGCATCCACAGCACCACCAGAGAAAGGCTAACCTGTTTGTCACCCCTCGGTCCATGAGCAGTCCCCTTGGGAAAACAGTGGACAGAAGTCATGGGCCCTGCAGGGCACCCCAACCACCCCCTTCTCACAGTGGCCTTAGCACAAGTTCCTGGGAAGTGCCATCCCAAGAGGAAGCTGGAGAGAGGCTGCATGCCACACTTGGGTCTGGGTTGTCACTGTGGGAGTCACTGGATTTGGGGGGGGGGGTCATCTGTGAATGGTGGATGGACTCAGGGGCCAGGACAGAGCAGTCTGGAGAGCCTGGTTGGAGGGCGGCCAGTGTCACCTCTCTCTAACTGTGGGAAACAAGGAATTTTGCAAAGATGGAGGGCTCAGCAGACCAGGCCCAGGGCGCAAGACCGTTAGTCCTTGACCTAGATGTGACAGGGAAGCCAGAAGGGCTGAGCAGGGACAAGGCAAGCCAGGGCCTGGTCAGGAGAGTGGACAGTAAGTCAGTCAGGAGCTTGAAAGCTACTGGGCCCATGCTTCCTAGCCACAAAGCCCTCCTGGACCAAGATGTATAAACTAGGGGGTTGGCTTAGGTTCTGACACCTTTCTGGGCCTCAGTTTCTCTAACTAAAAAGACGTTAGACCCACAGATACCACGATCCCCACTCATTTCGGGGTGCTCTGGCCTGTGGCAGCTCTCTAGGCCTGTACCTGTCCTTGCTTCCCATGCTTCACAGCTGTCGCAGGCTGGGAGCCAGCTTCAGCTTTGCAGGATCCAAAGCCTAGAGAATGCTCTGACTCTCTCCAGGTCACACAGCCTGTAGTTGGTGAAGGGACTTAACCCAGGGCGCCCCTCTCCTTCATGGTATAACCTGGTATACCCCTGGTTCAGGGGTATAACTCAGTAGACCTGCCCCCAGACTCCACTCACTAATGTGCTTGGAGACATACAGACACACAGACACACAGAGACACACGCACAGCTGGAATGGGCTTCTGAATCGGCTCCCAGCCCCATGCCCAGCACCCCCTGACAGGAAGGGCCCTGACTGACCCCCTAAGTGGCCAGGCTGCTGGGCAGTTCCTTCTTATGAGGCTCTTGCACGAGTCAGAGGACTCCAGCAGCCTGGATGGGCCTTTAAGGTTTTGGACTCATGGCAGGCCTAGAGACCCCTGTCTGGAGCAGAGCAGGGGCTGGGAGGGAGGCAGGCAGGTGCATCTGCTGACCCCCTCCACCACCACCTGCCACCTGCAGCTCCAGGACCTATTGATAATGGAGGTTCCAGGACCCTCTGTATGGGCCCCTACGGAGCTCTCTGTCCTCTCCCAGCTGAGGCCCCAGACTCCAGGAGAGGGTACCCAGGGTCACACTCCACCCATTCTCTGGCTACCGTTGGAGCCATGGGGCAGGGGAGGGATAGAACAAAGGGCAGGATCAGGCCACCTGAAGAGCTGAGTGTGATCTAAGCAGTTCTGAGGAAGGTTAGCCCAGAGGACTCTAGCCACCTAAAGCCCCCGAGATGTCCAGTAGGCTTGAATCTAGAGTCTGGACCCTTCAAGGCCTGACTTCAGGGACCAGGTGCCAGACAGTCAGCAGGCAGTGGGTAACACTGGACTGCGAGTTTCACCACACGACATGGTTCATCACTTCCACCCTGCTTCTCTGCTTAGAGACCTCTGGACAGGGCTCAGCGCCTGCCAGCGCACAACTCAGCTTGGTGGGCAGGACAGCCCTGAGGCAGGGGACAGGAGGCCTCTCCTTTGTCCTTCCCAAGGGCCTCAAGAGGCAGCATAGAGAGCAGAGTCAGACTGGGCATCCTGGCTTCCAATCCTAGCTCAGTCTCCTGTGCTCAGTGTGCCCTCAGTTATTCTGCCTCAGCCTCAGTTTCCACATCTGTCAATTGGGTCTGAGGATCATTTCCCAAAACAGAGCAAATGAAGCCATTTTGTTACATTGTCCCTGAAAGTCACCACAAAAATAAGGCAAAGCATTTTGAAATGTTTAAAGCATCAAAGACTTGAACTCCACAGGGCACAGCCTTTAGGAAGTAAAGAGGCTTCAGAGGTAGAAGGAATGGAGGCTCCGTTTCCAGTGACCCCCAAGGTCCAATAGGAACCCAAGTTCCAATAGGAACTTTCAGTGGCCTGGGCTGGAATGGCCAAAACCAAGTCTCCACCCACTGCTGCCTCAGTAGCCTCAAGGAGAGTGCCTCTCTGGTGGATCTGGGCAGAACATCAGCCAAGCCTGTTCACCCAACCGTGTGGGAGTCGGGCACTGGTACTCGCCAATCAGCAAAGCCAAATCCCTTTGAGGGTTGGGAGCCGTTGTCCTGGGCCAAGAATCCCTGAGCTTAGTTTTCCAAGGCTCAGTGTGGGAATTCTCAGAGGCTGTCCCTATTCCCAAAGGACGAACACAAGGCAAGGACAGGAATCTGCCTGAAGGACCTGGACCCATTAGGCTGTGGTAGTTCAGGGTGGAGCTTAGGGGTGGGGATGGGGCCTGTGAACTTTGGTTGCATGGCCCTCAGCCCAGCCACACGCCCCCAGTTTTCTGCCAACTTGGCACAAACGCTTCTTTCCTGGGGCCTCCAGGCCTGTAAATACAGCTGAGTTGGAGTGGACACACTAGGCTTAGGGAGGCCCAGACCTGCACCAGTAGGTGAGAGGCTTCACAGAGGCTCCACACTAGTTCAGGGGAGGGTGCTGGGGTGCTCTGCAACCTGGATGCTCACTGCAAGGCTAATGGGGTGGCTGTCTTCTCTTCCTGGAAAGCCTAGTCTTAGCTTTCCTGTCTATAAATTGGGTACATGGTTTTCCTCTGGGGCAGGGGAGGGGAACCAGTCCACTTTCTGAAAGTCTGAGTCCCCCTTCTTGACTTAGGTGAAAGAAACTTCCTTCTAAAGAGATCCAGAAAAGAGGATTCTCTGAGAAACATGGGAGGAGCAATAGTCACCCTCAAGGAAAGTTCTAGAAAAGGGACTCAGGCACCAGGTGAAACAAAAATTTGGCTGAAGGTGCCCTTGAGTTTGGCTTCTGGGTACAGGTGGGACACAGCTGACACTTGCCAGTGGACTCTTTACAAGCAGCCCCCTACCTGCTCGGACTGCTTGGGGCCTAGGGAGCTCACCCCACTGTTCTGGCCCTTGTGGAATTCACCCCAGAGTGGGATGTGTTCCCTGCCTGAGTCTCAGGAGCCCATGAGCAGTGTGTGGCTGTGACTGGGGGCACCCACGGCAACGAGATGTCCGGCGTCTACCTGGCCCGGCACTGGCTGCAGGTCCCCGGGGAGCTGCGGAGGCCCAGCTTCTCTGCCATACCAATTCTAGCCAACCCTGCAGCCACAGCCGCCTGCCGTCGATACGTGGACCGTGATCTCAACCGCACCTTCACCCACACCTTCCTCAAGTGAGTGCACTCAGCCAGATAGCCTGGTCCACAGCCTGGTACTTGTATCCCTAAGAACCCCCTCCATGGCCAGCAAGGAGTCTCTGCCTTTCCTGGTTTTAATCCTCTGGGTTAGAGAGATCCAAAGCTAGGTCATCTGCAGGAAGCTTGAGTCAGCCACTGAGCCTCAGGACACACTCTCTCCAGGTCGAGTGAGAGCACAAGGGCATCGGACCAAGGTGTGCAACTCCGGTTAGTGGGGACACAGAGGAAGAACTCAGCAATCACACAGGAGGCTACAGGCTGGGGTGGAGAGCTGCAGAAGCATCTGACCTGGCCAAGAGCTGCCAGGGAAGGCTTCCTAGAGGGTGGGACGTCTCAACCAACCTTCAAAAGTGACAGGTTTGCCAAGGAAAAGGAGACTGATTGAAACTATGAGGATCGGTGTCCCCCATTTTCCCTGCAGTTCCAGGATCACCCGGGACGACCCCTACGAGTTGACAAGAGCCCGAGAGCTGAACCAGCTACTGGGTCCCAAGGGCACAGGACAGGCTTTCGACTTTATCCTGGACTTGCACAACACCACAGCCAACACGGGCATCTGCCTCATCTCTGAAGCCTCCCACAGCCACTTTAATCTGCATTTGTGCCGCTACCTACAGGTAGTCCCAGGCTGTCAGCACACAGTCCTCAGAGAGCTTGGGGGGGGAAGGGGGGCCCTTCTACCCGTCCCTGTTCCCAGGGGCTGCCAGCTGCGTGTACTCCAGACCCTCTGGAACCTCTTAGATAGAGGTGGGGCAGCGTGGTGAACCCCTGTGCCTCCTGCACTCTCTACTCATGCGTCCCCTGCCTCAGTTTCCCCTTTCAAGAAGGACTGGGCTCTAACCTGCCCCTCTCACACCTCCCCGCCAGCTGCAGAACCCAGAGCTGCCCTGCCGCATCTTGCAGTACCAGCCCTCTGGGGAGGAGACCTACAGTGTGGAATCGGTGTCCAAGGATGGAATCGGTGGGCTGCGCGCTCTGGAG